ATTTCTTTCCGAATTTTCTTAGAGTGTCGCTATTTAAACGTTGTAAATCCTTTGAGGCAGCTCAATTTTGGATGAGATAAAATTTTTCCTTGAATTTCTCAGATTGAAATTCTTTTTGTGAGATTTTTGTCTTTCCTATAATTTTCCCATGCATCAAGAGTTCAACCCGACCTCCAACTAAAGGTACAATAAAAGTAAACTTTCTCAGTCCAAAGGATTACACTTCGTGTGTCCTAGTTATACTCCTCGTTATCGTATGATGACGAGCATAGGCAAATATGTTTTAATTCCTGTATTAGTATTTGCATGAGTAATCCATCAAAAACCTTTTGATGAATGGAAAAATATGATCTTGTTAATGTTGAATAAATCATGTGTGGTTTAATTTATTTCTTCATTACTCAAATGTGATTTACAATTTAATGTAAAAATCTCACATTCCATTGATCAGCAGAATGGTGATTAACATTCCTCAAGAAGATCAGAGGAGCTTTAAACATTTAGGATGGAAAAGGTGTCTTCCTAAATTTACAAGTAAAATTTTCATTCGCCTTTAAAAGAGGCCTTCCAAATGAAAATCTAGAGTATATATAGCTGCATGAAAATGAAATTTAGTAACTGATCCCTAGCAACAAAACAAGAAAAAAAATCTTTTCTATGCCCGAACAAGTTTACTATCAAAAGCAAGAATCATCAGCTATAACATGAGCTTGTTCGAATCAACTTTATGGTGTTTATAACTATAAGGATCCGTTTGATTGCAAGAGTGGAAAATAGGTGCAAATAAAATGAATTTCAAGGAAAGTAATCAACTTTACTAGTGTTTATAACTATAAATTCTGAACTGTCTCCCCTTAATTTCATATTTTACTATGATAAAATTTCATACTTCTCCTACTACTTTCACGTGTGAACAAGAATCGCCTCCAATGGAATCATCATCTACACAAACGACACTCAGAAATAAATACAAAAATCCGCAACTATGAAATAAAATTCAAAAAACAAATCAAATAGTCTATGAAAAATTCAAAAACAACCCCATGTACTAAAACATCAAAATATAAACGATTAACCAATTGAAGATCCATACACGATTCATCTTAATAAGTAGAGAGGAAAAGAAGTAGAACCTTGACGGTGAAGTCATGAACTGATTATGGCTGGGCTGATTGGCCGGGCCTGGCGTGATCTAACCTCAGACCCAAAAACAGAAAATTGCTTGAATTAATACCAAAAGAAACTGAAGAATACAAATATCTTGTTTTGGTAATTTGAAAAGGCAAGGAAATTGAACGAATCCATTTCACTTTAGAATTGATGAAAATTCCTTTGGCTTGATCAAGTTTGCATTGATCAGAGAACGAGTTGAAGAACAAAGCATGGAGAGGTTAGACAAAAATGGCCATAGTAAATATATATGTACAAATGATGCAAGTTACTTATTATTGAAGTGATAGTAATATAAGCAAAAACAATACTCTCAAAATTTATTTTCAACCATACATTATTCAATAAAATAATTACACGTAAATCAAAGAATTTTCCATATTTTTTAACTACACATTCTCCAAAAAAAATACTATTTTAAACTACATTTTTAACCAAAAAAGGGGCTCAAACAAGGGCTTATTGTTTTAGTAATTCATCCTCAAGCTTTGAATTTGAGTTTGCATCTCCATAGACTAGTTCAGGCAACAGTTGATAAACAATGTATCTCCTCATATTCTCGCTTTCCCTTCAAGGAATTTTCACAAGCCTTTCAACCACATTAACATTCTTGTTTCTTAGTGTTGGAATTAATTTACGGGATAATTTTTATAGGTATGAATTGGAAAAGTCTCAAACTGGTGCGAGTCTAGTTGCGACTATTCAAATGTAAATTGTGCTTATAAAAGAGTCAAGTTATGTTGAATTGATATGACTATTCAAGAAGGTACCTTATGAAAAATCAAAACCTTTAATAGTGTGCAACCTAGACCATTAAAGATGAAAAAGTGTGATCTAACAATCCAAATTAATTTATGTCATAAGATGCAACTATTCCGAAGAGACTTGAAAATCTATAAATAGGGTTCCCTTATTCCATATTTCTTACACCAAAATCAATACAAAAAAATTGATTTCTAAGTTCTCTCATCTCTTCAAAATATTCTATTTTTTATTTTGATAAAATTAAATTTCGTTCGAATTATTTTCAGAAATAAAAATTCATCCAAGCAATTTTAGTTTGTGTCTATTCCGTTCGTGAAGAATAGTGACAACGTTTTGGTTTGTCCAATAAAATTAATATTGTGTTATATTAATTTTGAAAAAAAAAATGTTGTATCTTGAGAGACGTGCGTTCATTTAATTTGTTAGCAGTAGTGCATGGAGCGAAATTTCTCTTAAGGAAATTTGCAATCACGATCTCACTTCATTTCATATCCCTCTCATTTATATGTTAAATTTTTGTAAGTCGCAATTTGTGCGTATTTTTCATGCGCTTACTTAGTTTCGATAAGTCGTTGATAATAGAAAATCTACTACAACTTATGTGTTTACTTTGTGTGGAGCATGTATTAGTTGGAAATCTCAGTTGCAACCTATTGTGGCCTTATCAACCATTGAGGCTGAATATGTGGCTGCAACAAAGGCCACAAAGTAAGGGGTTACTATTTGAAATAAAGGAATTGTCTAATCATGTATTCTGATAGTTAAAGTGCTATACATTTATGCAAAAACTCAGGTTTTTCATGAAAGAACAAAATATATTGATGTTAAGTTGCATTTTATAAGAGATATTATTGCCAGGGTGCCTTATTACTTGAGAAAATTGCTACCCAATTTAATTCAGTTAATATGGGTACAAAGGTATTGCCTCTAGTCAAGTTTAAGTTTTGTTTGCAAATACTGAAAATTGATACGGCGTTATTTGTTAAGTACAGGTACCAATTCTGAACTTGATGCTTTGGAGGGTGATTAATGGAAGCTGTTTTATCTAGATTGGGATAGTATTAAGCTACCTGATTAACCACTGGCATCAAGGTGGAGATTATATGGCTGTGATGCCAGTCCAGCCCACTTAGGCAATGATGAATGCCTTCGGCCCAATTACTTATGGTCCATTATAACTGAAATGAAGCCCATGTTCTTTCTTGGCCCAATAACCGGTCCAGCCTTAAACGTTTTTAGCTGATTGCAACTTTGGTTGTTTTCTTCTTGGCAAAAGCGTGTGTTTCAGGACCGTTGGATGAATGGTTGCTCAGTCTAGATATTTTAGGTATTCGATTAGTTATCTCATTCATTCGTATTCTTGCATTCTTGAGGGTTTCTAGAGTCTTCTGTGTGCTCTCTGTTCTTTCATCATCTTCTTCTTCTTCTGTGAGGAATCCACGAAGCTATTTCTGGAGTTGATTTTCTTTGTGAATCTAGTGAAAGAAACTTGTATTGATGTTGGTAACGTTTAGCTCTTCTGGTCCATAGAAGAAGCTACGCATTTGGCCTATGAATCATGAGGGTTGAGTAGATCTAGGCTTTCATGGTATTGATCTTATGGTGATAGTATTCTGAGCTTTCGATCGTTGAGATCTTGATGTTCAGTGGTTGTTAGGAGTAGTTCGAATGTATCAGGGTTTCAAGTTTGTTCGATCTGTAATTTTTCAATTTGTATTTCGTATAACAAGCATCTTCTTAGACAGAAGATCAAAATATTCAATACAAAGACATGTGAGACAATATTTATATTCAATCCCCATCAATTTCCAAGCATTTCCAACTAGAAACCAGCTCATAATCTTTGACCAGTGTCGTAATTTTGACCCATTTTGGAGTAAAACCAGCACTGATCTCATTTTTATGGTGAAAAAAGTTTAACATCGGATCGGTATCAAACAATTTTCGGAGGAATTTATCGGTTGATTCACTAATGACATGTTAACTTGCATTGGATAATATCGAACATAATTAAAGAAGTCAACTAAAATCTTAACCAGTACACGATGCAAGTGCTAACAAGAAAAGAGTCTTATTTCAAACTTTGATTCGTGAATTAGGGCCCAAATCAAGCCAAAAATTATTTTTGAGACTAAGAAATTGTTTTTGAACTTGTTTAGATAATTTTTGAAGTATTTTTTTTCTGCCTAGACGAACTTTCAAAGAAAGCTGACCCAAAACAACTTCCCAAAAAATTCTTCTACAAGAAACAAAAACCCGACCAAATGGAACCTTAATTCTCCATCTCGTATGAGAGCATGTTTGTGAAGTGTTTTTTAAATGATTTAATTATAAATGTTTGGAAACAAATAATGGATAAGTGAATAACGCTTATAAATTCCTCGAAATGTGAATAAAAAATAACTTCTTTTTTAAATGCTCCATGTTTCTACTCTTATTAATGGAACATCACTTGTGGCAGAGGAATACCGTGATTACATACTCAATCGTTGACACTACACAAAAAACAAACTATATCTGCTAAACGACAAATGATTAAAACATGTTTAACGATAAACAAGCTAAACATGACTAATGAGAAAAACAAATAAAACAAACAAAGCCTAACAACCCGCCAAAATAAGATAAACTAGTGTCAATGGGCCTAGTACAAGCCCGAGCTCAGCTTGTCGCCTCACATGCCGAGCCCACTCAACTAGTGAAAAAAATGGTTAGCTCAGCTCAGCTTGTCCCATGGCTCATCTTAAAACTAGCCAAAGTCGGCCAGTAGCTTGGCCAATTTGCCACCAATAAGCCAAACATAGGCTATATTGCATACATTACATAACCTGGTCAAAATATTTGTTCAGATCATAAGGCATATCATGACTCACAAAAATGCAAATGGTACGTTCCCACAAGTTTTATTTAAAATTCTACATATATTATCATAACAAGTTTCCCAGATAAGCACTTGAGTAGAATACATTAGATGCATGCCGTAAACAGTTAAAACTGTGTCATAAAACAAGTCACTCCAACAAATCCAGATTTTGACTAGGTGAAAAGATTAAGTACATTGTAACCTACAACATACTATCTGTCCTAGCAGGAAGCCGGCGGAAGAAATTGACAGGCACCGAAGGCAGTCGATAGCGAAATCTTGGATGCCGCATCATGTATAAGCCTGCCAAGGCTAATAATACCTGACAAGGTGTCACATACAACACCACTGCTGCTATAAGACAGAAAGTGATAAAGAGGGCTGTAGCTCGGGGGTCTCTCCAGCTTAACAGCGACTGCACACGTTCTCCCTGAGTTGCAATGTCGCCCACAACAGTCTGAATTCGTCCTGCCACACTTCTTAGTCGATCATATCTCATTCTTACAACATCAGGATTCCGACTTGTCGGGAATGTGTCAAACTCTTCGTCCAGTTCATCTGGGTGTACCGCCTCAGCCTGTGAGATCTTTGTGTTCATGTGGGGAGGATACCTTGGGCGGTATCGGAAATTCCATATTCCAATAAGAAACATGTAAAGAAAAAATGTTGGCAAAATCAGTTCTGGGAAGAAAGCAAGCATAAGAAATAGCAAATGCACGAGCACCGTTGTCACTGGGTTTTTCCACATGCAGATATCGCCAAACCATTTCCCTACAGCAAATAATCCAGAGAAGACTGACATCAGCCGGAAAAAGTTGGCCTTGCTTCGACGCATGCTCCAAAGATGTGAGTCCACATCGGACATGTATTCTACAACCTCCTTTCTGAGTGGTGGCTCTGCCCGACCCAGCCTAGTTGCCACTATGTTGACAGCCTGGTGTCGTAGCATGTCTAACTGCATCACAGTGAACGGCCTTACATAGTGCATCTTTGGCAACAGAGGTCGTGAGTACATATAGAGCATGTTAACGAAAGATATGCAAGTGAAGCGTATTGCCAAATGTAGCTCTCCCATCTTCTTAACACCAGTAGGGTGAAGAACCAGTAATGGATAAGAATGTGTATAAATACGACCAGTTTCAAGCGTCGAAATTCGAATTCGAACCTTGCCTATCTTTTGGTCCTTGTTACCATTGGAACCTTTATCGCCCAGCTGGCTGTTGTCAAAAACGCCAACTGTGAGGACTGTTGCTGGATCAAAAACTTCCCAAGTGTATTGCTCATTGTACTTGGGGAATAGGTTGTCAACAATTGTACGAGTTCGGACCCACTTGTGACCATACTTAGCTACACAATACGTATCTGACGTGCCTTTGCCATCTCGTGTTTTCATGGGGTGAAGCCCCACAGAATTTAACACACCAAGTTCCAGAACCCCAATGGGTGGCTTCCAAAGCTGTTTGGCCGTGGGACGAAGATCACTGCTATAATGAGTCGATTCATCAAGAACATGGTACCCTCCATCTAAACAGACTCGGAGATGAAGCTTGCTAGAGAATTTATCTTTCTTCAGCTGATCAACATCCACAGCAACTGGCTTCTCTAGGTTAAACCAACGAGAATGAATAATGCGATCATCTGCACGCTTCTCTACCATGCTCAATGGTATAATGGCCCTCCCAATTATCTCATCTTTCCCAGGTGCTACACGATCCTCAACTGTAAGAATGAGATGGTCTTCAAAAGGTTCTGCAGCCACAAAATATAGATCCTCATTCCATAAGGGGTTAAAATTCCGAGCCTGAACTGGCTTTGTTCTCAAAACTTGGTTTCCTATCTGTGCCTTCACATAAGCATCTGGGAAACGAGTTTTCTCGGTTGATACCAAGTCCTGAGCTTCAACAACATTAACACGTACATACCACAAGCGTGGTGCATGATAGACTTTTGAACGTAATAGAAAAGATGCAGCAGCAGTGCTGTCAATAGGTGTAGTTGCATCAGAGTGCCATGCATCAGGAAAAGCCTCGTCTGCTTGAGTGCCAATCCAGACTGCAAGCATTAACTCGCCCTTTATCTTCTCTCCCTTTTTGTCTTCAAGCCGGTACCATTCTGGAGCCAGGGGACTATCTGGTGGAACACGCATTGGAATCTCATTGAGGTCAAATCTGACAAAACCGACATAATCATCTTTGACAAGATCTTTGTCCTTGACAACAACTTCAAGTACAGAGGCTTGCATCCTCTCCTTTGAGAAGGCAAACACTACATTCCAGAATGGATTTTGCTGCTTCTCAATATGCTTGGTAACTCCTTTATAATTTCCGATTTTCACCTCCACGTATGGATCTAGACTCCCAGTAACATCCATTGCAGGAAGCTCCCGAGCCTTAACAACTCTAACAAAAAGGAAGTGCATTTTTTCGACAAGATCATAGGTACCTCCACCTGTCCTATCAGTACGAACAACACGCCCCCCAACAACTCGTCCCCCTCCGAGGAACGGACTTGTTTCTTTAAGGGCATAGTCAACTGGTTGTGCTGACGATGCTGAGTGCATCCGGACAAGCTTCAGAGGCTGCGGTTCGGCAGCCTTCATTTCATCAACCCCGTATTTAGTTACATGGTGAGGCACTGCAGCAGCAGGAGAGTGATGCTGTTGTTGGGAACTACTGGGGTTTGGGAGATGATGGAATGTGTGCCTCGCCTCTGCTTTGACATGAGAAACAGTGTTTGACACTGGAACATGAACTGATTCCGGGTTTAATTGAGTTTCCTCAGCTGTAGAAACAGGGATAGATGACTTTATTGATGGATCATCAGTGATATAAACCTTGAGGCCGAGCTCTCCTCGAACCCGTGAGAAAATACCACGCTTCTCTAGAGGATAGTGCAGGACAACAGCATCAGAATAGGGTACGAAGGAGGTCCCATTGATGCTGACCTTTCCAAGGAAGGACCTCGCTTGAGTCGCTTTGATATTATTGTAGATGTACGCATCAAGTGCAAGAGCATGAAGGATGGAAAGATCTGATATGTTGAAGTAGAAGCTTTCATTCCACACAGGATTGAGATCCTTTTCTTTGATTGTGGTGCGGTACCTCTGACCATCAAAATAAAGCTCCACAAAAGCACTGGATGAGCCCTGTCCATCTTTAGGCAAGAGGTTATGAGCACTTACGACATCTACTCCTAGCTTCAGGTTGCCCAGAGTCATTTTGGTGGGTCGGGTTATCAAGGATATGTCAACACCAAAAGCAAAGACGAGTCCCCAAAACCCTGTAACAAAGACAGAGAAAGAAAGAGAACAAAATAAATTCAAAATTCAAACTCAACAGTTACACAGCTACTCTGCAGAAATAAAACCGTAATGCAAGAAATGCCACTCAAACCATAGGAATTTCATATGAAAGCAAAAGAGAGAACATGCAGATAAATGCACACTTATATTTCAACATCAGAAAATAGTAGTACCAGATCTAAATCAAGAATAAGAATTATACATGTTACTGAAATATCTGAATTATGTGTTTATCATAAGGAGAGGGAAGAAGGGACAGATTGGGCATAATGAATCACAACCAGCAAAAGTTCTATTTTAAAGAAGAAAAACATGAAAATGGGAAAGGATTTCAATAGCTGCAAATAATACTAATTTCTTTGTCTCCTCACAGAAATTAGTTAAAGACTGGGAATACAATCTGGTGTATAGACCATGTATAAGATTCACAGATGGACAACTTACATATATAGTTCAGCAAATCATGTAAAAATACTTGCATATAGTAGAAATCTGACTTAGTTTAAAGAAGATAATAATCTAAAGAAATTTCAGGGGGACTACACATATGAAATCAGTTTATGCTAACAAATAAAATGATTCTTTAACAAAATGGATGCTATCCAGAACAAAACTTAAACCGCTTTAAATTGCTGCAAATATAATCCACCAAAATTACACATTAAGGTTCTAAGTCACTTACCCTTCTAGCGAAAGATCCTTGGAAGCTTGAGTATCGAATTTGAAAAAACTAAACACAGAGAAGCTCCAGAAATGAGCCTCCAATCCGACCTTGAGAACAACTAAGATCTGGCTGGAGGGAAGGAGAAGCACTATAAGTTAGACCACCTAAAACAAAGGTATTCAACTAATCATTTCAACGTGCATGGTGATCAAGCTAAGTCTCTTACATCGAATAATGAAGTGCTTAGTGTTTCCTGAAGAACTAAAAACAGACTAGAGCAGAATTTTAAATTATTGAAACAATTGTTTAGTGCATGCAAACAGATCTAGCAGTGGAAAAAAAGCATTATATTAATCCAATCAAAATCTCAGCTTTGTCTTTAAGAATGAGTTCAACAGAATCATTATATCAGACCCACCTATAAAAGTATTCGTACTGGCAATAATTTACAGATAGACTGGTGCAAAATGGAGACAAGAAAATGAGTTCACTTTCAATAAAAAGCTCACCTACCAAAAATTAGCATTAATACATGTTAAAAATGCTGAGAATGAGATCAATTAGCAATTGTTGAAGTTGACTTTCTTTAAGGATATACATCAATAAGGCTTAAAAATGAAGGGGTGACCACAAAATGTACAAGAAAGGGCAAAAAAGAAATTTTGGTCAACAGTTTTTCATCACCATGTGCCTCGTGGAGAGATCTATGGAAGTAAACACAGAATTCTTGAAATTAAAAATTCAGAAAATAAATAAATAAATTAGTACTTGCTGAAGCTAAAGTTACTTCATGTAAAGCCTAAAAAAATGAACTGTAGTCACTTTTGATTCCAACTGAAAATACACCACAAAGCACTAAAGCACCAAACATTTTGTCGATTTCCTCAAAAAGATAAAAGAAAAAGGATAATGTAAACATAATTACAAAAAGAAAACCTTCAACACTTTCATCCAAACAAAAAGACACCAACTTTAAAATTATTACATTTTACAAAGTAATATAATTAAGAATTGACCAACACACACAAATATGTGTGTATGTTTGCAAACATTTTGATAGATACGAAAGCAAAAATCAAGAAAACGAGATCTTCAAATCTGAAATGAAAATCCCACAAAAAAAAAAAATTTCGATTTTCTTCAACCAAATCGGGCTTTACCGGTAAATGGGTAGTTAGAAAAATTAAAAAATGAAAGAATAAAAAGAGTGCAAATGGTTCTCGAAAATTAGAACCGGAATAAAGAAAAATACCAGTTTTTATCTTTTCAGCTCAAATCTTCAGCAACTCTCTACCAACATTATCAATATCTCGAAAGAAAAGAAGTTTTTTTCAGAATTCTTCATCAACCATGGCTATGTGCTGAAAACGCTCTATTGTATTTGAAAAGAAGTTTTTTTCAGAATTCTTCATCAACCATGGCTATGTGCTGAAAACGCTCTATTGTATTTGTTGCTTGTTTCTTTATGTATACATGAGGGTAAGGCGGATTCCTGTGGGAGAGGGTGTGGGGTCTCTGTGAACTGCGAGTCTGATTACAGAATCATTAATGGCGTTGTCATCCAGTCGAGAGGCCAAAACTAGCCAACCAAGATTTTGGACAAAGTGTAACTTTTTTTCTTTTTCCTTTTTTTTATTATTCATTTGAAATGTTGACTATGCCATGTGGCGACCCACTATTGGTGGGGTCTGTTGAATTATCCATGCGTCCGTCTGTGTTTGGCTAATGTTTATTAACCTTTTTATAAATATTCAAACTACTCTTTATCCGTACATATCATTGGTTTGTATCTATTTATAATTTAAATTGTTTATAAATATTTTCCTAACATGTTACAGGACATTTACGTTTTATTTTTTCAAATTAGTAAAAGTCACGATTATTATCGTGTTCAAGAAATAATAAAGTTTTTGGAGAGTCAAAGTCAATTTCGCTTATGACAATTGTATTCACGTTAAATCGAGGTAGATACCATAACAAATAAGATATTTTAATGATTTTATTACTTCATTAATGTTTCCCAAACATGTTGTAAATATTTTTTTCCTTGGGAAATCATTGATGATAAATATTCTTAAAAATGGTCATTGAAGCATTTGGTTTAAATGTGGTTATTTCCCAAGTATAGTTCTAATGGTTGCACCAAAAAGAGTAATGCTATGAAAATTGGTATAAAGAGTAATGCTATATAGTAATAGTAGTATGTCATTATTTCATTTATTAATTTTCTATAATCATTTTGAGTATTTACAAGGAAAAATTTTGCATTGGTACTCAACTAATTGAACTAATTATGATTTGGTGTCCAACATTTGAAAAAGAAAATTAATCATCAATCTTTAATTAGACTTGCACAGTGAGTTTTTAAATACAAAAATCTACAATTTTTTATTAATCTCTTGTTTGGTAAAATTTTTCTTTTTCAGATTTTAAACTTAGAAATTTTCATTTTTAATCACTTTTCTTTGAACCCACAACTTTTATTCATTTTTAACGACACATTTGATGGGATCAATTAGCTTAAAAGGTTGTCTGGTGCAGCTTGTAATCAAAATTAAAGACGTTAGGCCGCAAATCTTGACTTCTTTGGTGAGAGAGTGGGCCCCAATTTTTAAAAATTAAAAGTCAAAAAAGCCCAATTTCTTTGATTTTAAGATGTACCATACATCCGCTAAAATCTCCAATTTTTTTGTCAAACACGTAAAATGTCGAGTAATGTAAATGAAAACATGTCTCGTTTCTCTCACAAAATTTCTGAACATAAACCCAAGTTGAATAATAAAGTCTAATTTCATAAAGTTGGAAGCGTGAAGTTGCCTGATCTAAAAAAAAAGTTAAATGATTTCCAATATAAATGACAAACTGTCCAACCATAATACAAGGTTGTGAACTCACTTAAACAATTTTAAAGATTGAAGATTAAGTTGCTATTTGGTGGTAAATTGCTCTCTAGTTATAGATAGCTTTACTCGTTTGAAAAATAATAAATATAAATTTCAAGAATCAAACATTACTATTATAACATTTGTTGTTATTAGTATTTCTCCACCGTCAAAACACAATGACTTATGCAATTCATACAGGCACGGATGAAAGGCAAGCAAAAAATGAATTTGCCTTAAAACCTCCAGGCAAAATATTGATAAGAACCTAAATTCAATGTTGTTTTTAAGCACCTAAGTATAGTGTCAAGACTTTAGATAAATCGAAATTAGAATTTATGATTGTTGTGTGTTTCTATTCTGTATTTGGATATCATTTTCTACTTGAAAAATACATAAGGATGACAATGAGACAGGGGACAAGAAATCTCCGCTTAACCGGTTTTGTGGGACCCCATTTTGTAAGGTTACTTAGGCAAAGTAGCATTACATTGGGGGTTAATCTTGCCCGACCCTCCTATGTGCAAGGACAGAGGAGGGGATGGGACAGGGTATGAAGTCCACTCCCCATTGATATTCCCTGAAATATATTTAGCTCCTATTTGATTGTCATTATTTGATGTGAAAATAATGTTTTTGACAGTGATCTTAAAGAAAATATGTGATTAAAAAGTTGAAAATTTTTTGAATTTACGTGCAAAATATTTTAATATGTGGTTGAAAATGAATATAAAGAATAAATTATTTTGTTTTGAAAGGAGTCAAACCAAGACTTAAATTGTTGACCTCAAAATATCGCCTCATCTTTCATTCAACATAAACACATATTTCTCTAAAAGAACAAAACTCAACTTGTGAGTTTGCCACCTTAGGAAGGCGCAACCGGAGGCTTAAATAATTGGAAGAATAAAGTCATTGGTACATCATAATGTATATCATCCTTGTTGGCGAGATGTGATTGGTGAAAAATCTTTTTATTTTTTTTTAATTGTCAAATGGTAGCTTGACACGTGATGGAGTGTACACTCTGATGTATAACAAGTATGATCGTAATTAGAATACCTTTCATATATAAACATGTTTCGTTAATTTTTTTTTTCTTTTTCAGGCAAAATAATTTAACAAGTGAAAACGATACATAATTTCATATCCAAAACCTTCCGTTGGTAAACGAAAAATCCTTGCTTGGTCCATACCCCCTTTGGTCCCCCACTCCCACCATATCTTTTGCTTTAGTCCTTGGACTTTGATGCAAAATTGGCTTTAGTTGAAAGCGATGGAATAGTAGTTGACCATCTAAAATTTAGAACCATCTTTCATGGTAGGATGTGCATCGTGCGCCAAGAGATAATGCATGGCTTTTAGTCCAA